ATTCGGTACCACACACGCCCAAGGCTTCCTTGCATACAAACAAGGTTTTGTTGTGTGTTTGGTGGAAAGCATCTGGAATTGTCCATTATGAGTTTTTAGAAAGGAGTCAAACCGTCACTGCTAATTTGTATTGTGAGCAGCTTCGACGAAACAGCTTTCTTTGATCAATCGGAAGGAAGCGATATTCTTGCAGGATATCGCCAAGCGTCATACCGCAAAAGTGACCCGAGAAAAAATTTATGAACTCGGCTGGGAAACGTTACCGCACCCGCCATATTCTTCCGACATTTCGCCCAGTGATTATCACCTTTTTTTGTCTCTTGACAACTCTATGAGGCACCGACAGTTCACAACTCGAGTTGGTGTAATAAATGCAGTCCGCCAATTTTTTTACTACAAATCCAGGGAGGTCTACAATACCGGCATACAAAAATTGGTTCCACGTTGGCAAGAGGTCATTGAATGTGACGGTAATTACTTCGACTAATAAATAGCGTCTTATTGTTTCTCAATAAATATTTTTCTACTAAAAACCGCACGAACTTATTTGGTTACCTGATAGTTAGTTTGATTCTGAAAGTGCGCAGAGGTATACGCGCATTTTTATTGTACATTATTGGGCGAGAGCATATTAATGCAGTATCTCAACAGAAGCGTTTCCATGGCCTCCGCGATCACCAGACTTAACTTGTCTTGATCTTTATTTATGGAGACGGATAAAGGTCATCGTGTGCTCTACAACCAGAAAAGATATGATACACCGGATTCGTAATGCAATACGTAACATACCGAGAGCCGGAATTGAAGCTGCAGTTTTGTCTACCCATGAGAGTCTTCAGGAATACATAGAGCATGATGGTTAGCATTTCGAGCATTTACGGAGGCTTCAAATACCTTTATTTTCTAAATCGATCCTCTTTAGGGTCACAACTTAATAATAAAATTCTAGAAAATTTAGTGTGAAAGAAATAAAAATTAAAGGATTTCCGTATAAAATTTTCTTTGGCCTAACTTTAGGCTAGGGACAAGATAGCGATATGGAGTTTTCGTGATCTTGCTTAGACATCATTTAGCTACATTTTCATAAAAAAAAATCATACCAATGTATTTAGTTTTATTGAGAAAGTCAAGCATTTCTGACGGAATGACGAAAAAAGCCCCCTAGCGCCTACATATGAAACGAACAAAACTTTGAATATTATAGGATTTGTAACCCAAGAATAGCTCTTTTGAACTAGCCCAAGTTTGTTAAAATCGGCTCAACCCCACCACTTGATTTTTAGAAATACAGCAAAAATTGTCAAACAAGAAAGGTTTAGATTATTCTCGATTTCAAAGATTAAGTATTTTTTTGTAAACAAAATTTGTCTTGGTCGTTTTAGTAAGTATTTTTGCCGCAAACCTCTACAATGGATAGGTTCCTCGATACAGGACCTCGCATTCTTAGTTGGTTACCCTGTACAGTTGAGGCTAGCGATGCAAATCATTTGAATACCGACTTTGGAGTTGGGATGAGCAAGACACCGAAGAAGCAGTAGGACAAAGCCATCAAAACCACTAAGCTGGCGGTAAAACTGATAAGAAGACATCTGTTCCAAACCGCATCAAAGAGTATGGTTAGAATAGACGTTTGGTATTGCAAAAATGACAGTTGGAAGTGGTAACAGATTCTTCGACAAACAGAATTATGTATTAAATTTCGTACAGTGAAAGACGGGCTTAACATATCCTTTTTGTCTAAAATCACTCGGACACGTACGGGACAACAAAAATAATGTGTTTCTAATTTTTTTACGGAGTCTCATTTTGTTATTGACTAAAAAATGTGAAAAAAACGAACGCTTTAAAAGTGAAGAACGTTTACTTTGTAGTGCTACACGTCATTTAATTATACGTTCAAAAGTTGTAGTTGAAAATCATTAGATTTAAAAAAAGTAAATCCCAAAAACTCAAACTACATAAACCTCATTACAGTCATCTCCCTGTTTTATCCAAATTATTTGGAAATGTCATGCTTTCTCACTTTAATATTCATTTAACTATCATTAATCGACTTCCAGATCAACAGTCTGGATTTAAGGAGAGATAAATAGATCGATGACACCATCACAGGTTTGATAGAGGTTATGCTACACTTTTAATGCTTCTTGATTTTTCTAAAGGTTTCGATACAATATTCCATGAGCACTTATTATCAAAATTGAACTATTTAGGACTTTCTGAGAAGACGTCAAGTTTCATTTGGCGACAAAATTTCATCACTTGAGCTAATCAAATCTGGCGTACCACAATGTTTCTGTTTTTATTCACATCAGACACCTCAAATTTGATCACAGTTGTTCAAAATTGTAAAATATGCCTACGCCGACGATACCCAAATATATATCATTGCACGAATATTATCATGAAGCTACCACTTTTAAAAACAAAGAACTAGAGGTAATCTTTAATTGTGCAAAGGAAAATGCTCTGAATTTTAGTCTCCCTAAAAACAAAATCGAGCTTTTTTAAGGAAAACATGCATAGTTGTATCAACAAGTCACACTTGAAATTCTTCGACCGTGTAACTAAACTGCTATTTAGCATTAAGGCCAACAAAAACATATTGTCTATGTTTAAAAAAATATATGAAAGACCAGTTCATTCCAAAGTCTTCATTGTATGTCATCATATTAACCCTGCCTAGACTAAAACCAAACGTTTGCAGACAATCCAAAATTATAGTTGCCATTTGATTAGCAATCTAGCAAGATATGATCACACATCAGGCCATATCATTGCCATGAACAGTTAAGAACCTGTTCAAACATTTACTCTTTACAATTGTACATAAAACAATGCTCAACAAGAAACCTCCATCCTTGTACAGAATGTTAATTCCTCATTATAAATCCACCCCAATATAATTATTCGTCTTCAAGAAGTATTGATTATGCCTCAACACAAGATTTCTATATTCACAAGTCATTTCACATTTGATGCAATCTCTTTATACAATTCTCTACCAAACGACTTGAAAAATATGTCTCTGAAGAAGTATAAACTACATTTGAAGTTGCATCTCCTGCATGTGTAATTGTAATGGTTTCTAGTATTGACCTTTTACATTGTTTCATTTCAACATTTTTTGGTGAACACGAATATAAATTTCTATCCAATGTCACACAAGGGTTTAGTGGAAGAACAGCCGAGGTGCCGAAACCCGACCGCGAACGAAAATTGTCAATCATCATTCAAGTTTTGATTCCCATAGTCCAGGAAGTATTTTCGCATGTACCATGACAAATATTCTGATTCGTTTTTTTTTTTGCTAACAATACTAACTAAAAGCTGGCGGCCGCCCATACGAGGGATGTCTTTTAAGTTTTGCATATAGAAACATAGTAGGCCGCGTCAGTACTGAATCTTAACCTCACTCTTTAGTAAACTTAAATTCAAAGTTTCACAACAATACGTGCAGTGTTCTCACTACAGTGAATTTTTAAGTGTCACCAAGTCATTAGAAAAATGGAACTCAACCGAGAACATTTTCGCGCCATAATTTATTACAACTTTAGCAACAAGAATGCCTTGCTGCGTTACTGTCTGTTTTCGGCAACGAAGCGCCACATCAGTCGACAATTTCCCGTTGGTATGGAGAATTCAAACGTGGACGGGTGAGTCTTAGCGACGATCCTAGGGTGGGTGCACAAAAAACGGCAGTCACCCAGGAAAACGTCGATGCTGTGCGCAAACTCATCATTGAAGATAGAGATGTGACATATCGCGAGATTGAGGCATCCTTGAAGATCTCAAAGACCTCAAATCAAAAAAAAAATACATGAAGAATTAGGAGTAAGAAAATTAGTTTCTCGTTGGATACCCCACCTGTTGACTGAAGAGCAGAAAGCAGCCAGGGTTAATTGGTATCAAAAAACGCTTGACTGTTTCAATTCCGGAAACTCAAAAAATGTGTACAGCATTGATAGTGATGATGAATCGTGGATTTACTGTTATGAACCAGAAAATAAACGACAGTCGGCTGTTTGGGTGTTCCAAGGTGAAGAAAAGCCAAAGCCAACAAAAGTCATCCGTTCTCGAAAGTGTTTTGGAAAAGATGGTCGCGACATTTGTGTTAAAAGCGGGTCATATTGCAACAATTCCTCTTAATGAGCAAAGAACTGTTACTGCGGATTGGTATACCACCATTTGTTTGCCAAAAGTCATCGCCGAGCTTCGAAAAATCAACCCCGAAAGAAGAATCATCCTCCACCAAGACAATACAAGCTCGCACACAGCCCAAAAAACAAGGAAGAAAACGTGGAATTATTGGACCATCCTCCATATAGTCCTTACGATTTCTTTATTATCCCGAAAATTAAAAACAGATCTTCCAGCAAACGAGTGGAATAAGTGCTTCGAAAATTGGTTCGAGCGCATGCAGATGTGTATTAATCTTCGTGGAGAATACTTCAAAAAAACAATAAAGTCATTTAAAACTACCTACCGTGTTATTTAATTTCCATATGCAAAACTTAAAAGACATCCCTCGTATATCGCATTTCTCTCGCGTAACACAGGATATAAATTAAGCGCCCGAAAGGCAAAGGTTTAACAATAACCAGACCCCTGGAATGCTTTGGAATTTCATTGTTTGACGTTTAAATACTATTTGAGTACTTTGGCAACATTAAAATTTTTGTTCTTTCATATTTTATCACGGGGTCAGAAATCATGTCGCACCTTTTCTAATATGAAATCGCTAATAACTCAAAAACTATGAACTTCAAAAAAAGTTCATTAGAACCTTTTTTTTGTCCAAAACGTACCATTATACATAAAAAATTGTTTGGAGCGAAAAAAACAATTTTTTAAATTGAAAATATTATTCAAAAAATCCTTGATGCAGTATGTGGATTCGTTGAAAGGGAATCTTTTGTGTGCATGCACTACACTGCGGTTACTATTTACACTTGGCTACGATGAATTATGAGACCAGAGGTCCGCTTATGTGATTTATCTGGTTTATGGACTTTCAACGTTTCCAGGAAGGTTCAAAAATCTTTGCCAGCCAAAAGCTTTGGTATGGAAAACAGTATACAACATTGTGTAGGTAAAAATTCGTTACTGTTGGTCTAGTCTGTTTTGAACACAGAGCTTAAAAAACCTGCGATAACTAAGTAGTCGATGTACACCTTATCTATGACCTTATGATATTAAATAATTTTAATATTCAATGACACAATAAACAAAGTCTTACATATATATAAAAGGTTACAAAGTGTAAACGCTCATATTTAGTGAGAAGGTGATCTCTAAACTAATCAACATGAAACTGTACGTTGTGCTTTTGTGCATTGCTGTTGTTTACGGTAAGAGATTTTTTTTTTTGAAAAAGTATCCATCAGATTATAATATTCTGAACTAGCCTTTGACCAAGCTTTTCACATTGATTTTAGCCGAAGAAAAAGAATCTTCGTCAGAAGAACTTGATCTTGACTTCCTGGAGAAGTTTTTTTCATTCAAGGGCAATAAACATATGAAAGATGCTCGTGATATTTTCAATAAGACCCAAGAGAAATGCCCAAACCTAAAAACAGACGCTGAGGTAAGTCCAGATCCGACTTTAATCATTTTGCTTTCTCCATTATACAAGACGGGCACCCATCATTCGTTTATTTCAGGACGTTTTGAAAAAAGTTGGAGAATGTGTTGTGAAAATAGAAATGGGATCTAAGACAATCTGTCAAGTAATCAAGGAAAAAATTCCAAAATGTTCCAAACCAATTATAGATCTCATAACGCCTTGCGTCGAAGAACAACATCAGTATCTGGTACGTCTCACATTCAAGATGGTCCAAGCGTTGATGGATCAGGCCTGCAACTCAACCGTTGAGGAATTATTAGGTTGGTTTTATATCGGGTTTTCCAATAGGGACTCGACAACTTTGATCTTTCAAAATATTCATTAAAGAAAACGATTTCATTATGGTGAAGTACACGCTTACAAATAATTAAAGTTTACTACCGAAATTCCGAGTCGGTGACTGCAACTTTAAGAGCGTTAACGCCAATTTTTAGTCGTAATACTCGTCCCAGTAAACAAGCAATTCATAGTCTAGTGAAAAAAAATTGAGTCCACATATTCGGTGCTGGATGTTCCCGTGCCAGTGAGACAATGGGTTGGTCGAAGTACCGAGAATATTGCTGCCGTTCCAGGTTCCGTCGCAAACGAAGAGAACACATTGCGAATTTTGCGAAGAGATCTTGGCCTGCACCCTTATAAGATCAAGTTAACTCAAAAACTAAAGCCGTTCGATCATATGAACTGACGTTGGTTCTCGAATTGGTCTCTAGAAATGTTGCAAGAAAATTACCATTTTCATCGCAAAATCATCTTCAGTGACGAGGCGCATTTTTGGCTAAACGGCTTCGTCAACAAACAGAATATGCGTTATTGGTCAGATGAAAACCCTGATGCGCTTCAAGAAATACCACTTCATCCATAAAAAATATCTGTATGGAGTGGTTTTCATACCGGTGGTGTCATTGGGCAGTTTTTTTCGTTGATGAAAATGACCGTCACGTTACCGTCAACGGAGATCGCTACAGAGACATGTTCCAACGTTTTTTTTTGGTCAATTGGATGGGCTAGACATAAATGATATGTAGTTTCAAGAAAACGGTGCTACAAGCCACACAGCTGGTGAAACAATCAACATATTGAAATCAAAATTCGGTGAACGTGCTATATCGAGAAATGGTCGCGTCGAATGGCCGCCTAGTTCGTGTGATTTAACACCTCTAGACTTTTTTGTGGGGCTACATTAAATCATTGGTCTACGCCAACAACCCTGCGTCGTTAGAGGAGCTCAGAGCCAATATTGAACGAGAGATAGCGGCCGTTTCTGCCGAAATGTGTGGCCGAGTCATTCAAAATTGGGTTCAACGAATCGATCGCTGCGAACGTTCCCGTAGTGGACATATGAACGAGATCGATTCCATACATAAATGTTTTGAGTATACTTCAATCCTATATGAAAATTTTCGAGATATCTCTAATGGCTTGCGTTTTATTTAAAAAAGAAAGTTGTCAAGTCCTTAATGAGAACCATGTTTACGAGTAGTAATACAGTAGCACCGGGTGGGCCAATAATAAATGACTCCAGCTATATTTTGGCAACCGCTTAACCTAAATCGGTTAAAAGACCTCATTATCAAAGTGGCCAGGAGAAATTGCTCAAAATTTAGTTCCCTAAAAGGCTCGCTAGTTCAAACGTCATTCTTTAACAAAAATTCATAATTAACATACTGATTAAATAGCTCCATCCTAATTATCAAACTTTTTTACTTATGTCATTTTTTCATATTTTGGTTGGCCTAGGATGGGTGAAGGGTTGAATGTAATTTCAGAAAAAGTCACATAACAACTTTTTGGCTGTTTAATGATCACCTGCGCTTCTAACAAAGCTCAATCTTGCCAGATTACTTCAGTTAGTGACTGCCTCATGGCGCGTTGTGTATATGTCAGAATTTTTTTTGGATGTTTCCAAAAATTCCAAAGACAACGATATGATTTTTCGGAAAGTGCAAAACGAATCCTATGAAATGGTTAAAACCGCAGAGCCATATATTTATTTGTTATGGATATATCTAAAGAAAACCTCAAATTACAATTTTCAAGTGCTGCTGGATAAGAAGGATTTGTGCCTTGAACAGTTGTGTAAAATGACGATATTTTACTTTAACATGCATTTTTGAACCTTTCTATGACCGCTAGTGGGCGTAGCTATCGCCTGATATATGAAAATGTTTTTTCCCTAATTATTTTATATTAAGGGTGGGCCATCAGTTGTTTTATGTTGATATTATGTTGACAGTTTGTAACACTTCCATGCTGGACATATTGACAGATATATCATGTCTAACTTCCGCTGTGAGTAATGGATCGTTTTAATCTTGAACAAAGGTGGGAAATATCGAAAAACTACTTTCAAAATGTAGCTTCTTCAAATCATCTTTTCGGACGAAGCCCATATCCATCTGGAAGGTTACGTTAACAAGCAAAACTGTAGGATTTGGGTTTCTGAAAATCCACATCTCGTTATAGAAAAATCAATGCATCCAAAAAGAGTAACTGTTTGGAGTGGCTTTTGGAGTAGTGGGATTATTGGTCCCTACCTTTTTCAAGATGAAGATGGTAACAGCGTGACGGTAAACGAGGAATGCTATAGAGACATGTTGAGGAGTTTTTTTTTGGCCACTATCAGACGACACGTACCCAATCTCTCTGGTTCAACAAGATGGCGCAACATGCCACACCAGCCGTGGAACAATCGATCTTTTACACACCGCTGTTACACTGACGATCCTCAAACAATTGATGTTCTTAAAGAAATTATCCGTCAAGCTATTGATGAAACCGACCCATAAACTATCGAAAATGTGTTTCACAATTGGGTTAAGAGGATGGACTACCCTCAAGCCAGTCGCGGCAGCCATTTAACTGAAATTGTTTTTCATAAATTATCGGAAGGTGTGTTCTTTTGAATAAAGTATCGAGTGTTGCATATTACTGAAGAGTGTAGCTTTAATACCAGTTTCAAAAAGAAACCAACGGGTGACTCACCGTTTAGTTCATATTTATCTCAGTTGGCTTTGCAATATGAACAATGTATAAATTACCGTGTTTTATACCTATTTGTCTTATTTAGATTCACTAAGGGTGTGAATTATGAGATACGGAGATGCAAAAGGATAAACTTTTCCAATAAATTCTTTTCTTAAAAGATGTATGCGGTCCTAAAAACAGCCTATTTGGTTTTCCAGAGATTTCGAGTACTTCCAGGCAAGTTATTAATGTCTGGTCACGTGTTTGAACCGCTTTCATTGAACATTTGACATTTGCACTAATTTATTTCAGGTTGTTCTTTTGTTTCTGTCCTAGAGTGCCATGATCTAGAATACTAGATTATATTAATACGCTCTTCTAAGGGACGTAGCTGCTATAATATTACAATGGATGTAATACCTAATCTCACAAACACGGTAACTTCTGAATTGTTTTAATTACAAAAACAACTGAGATAAAATATGAGGTTTAGTTGAAGAAGGAATGCTGGTTTGTCAGGGGATACGCCCCTAGCGGTTATGAAAAAGCGTTAAAAAAAATTTCAAATCAAAATACCTTAAAATATTGGTACATTTTACACAACTATTCATAGCATAAACCCTTCCAGCAGTGCTTGAAAATTGTAATTTAAGCATATTTCTTAATATATTATCTTCAAAACAAATAAAGATATTGTTATGCAGTTATCACCATTTTGTTGGACTTTCCTATTAATATAAAAAAGCATGCCGTAGTATTTTAAATTTTCGAATAAGACACATATACGGAGCGCCATGTAGCGGACAAACACTGAATTAATCTTACAATTTTATCAAATGACTTTCAACCCTTACCTCACCCTAAACTAACCAAAATTTGAAAAAATTACGACAAAAAGAGTTGAAAATAGGCAATTGAGCAATCAACATGACTCCGCCTAGCGGGGTGCCCCAAGGATCAAACTTGGGCCCTCTCCTGTTTATACCATTTATCAGTGATCTCTGTGATGAATTTAAATGTGGTACTTTGCTGTTTGCTGACGACTTGAAAGAATTTTGTCAAATTGACAACATTACTAATCTACAATCTCAGGTCGATAACGTTCAAAGACGCAGTATGGATAGGCTTCAATTAAATGTCAGTAACTGCAAAATTGTAACATATAAACGTAAGCAGAATAAGACTGTATATAATTTCACTTTAAGTGATGCAATTCTTGATCGATGTGGTACTATTTGCGACTTGGGAGTAACATTCGATTGTAGACTGAGTTTTGATCACCACACATCTCAAATAATTTCTGATGCAAGCAGGTCTTTTTTGTATGTGTATGTGTTATTTAAGATCAAAAATAATGAGTTCTTACTACCAATGCTACATGAACACGAACTAGTACCTAGTCTTTAAAGCTGATGGATTTTATCCAAAGCATGGATCTGACTACGGAGTTTCATTAAGGCGGCTCCGACGCAGTGTGAAGCCATTTACAAGGGTTCAGCTGCTTCAAAACTGACACTCCATTTTTCAATATTTTTGAATTAAATTCATACAGTATGTTGAGAAGATATAATTGCCCAGGGTGCTATAGGAGCACTTTTTGAAATTTTGTTTTTGCATAAGTTTTATGATGGGTTGAAGTACGCACTTTTTATGGTCAACTTCGCGATTTTTTTAAAAAGAACCTAGTGAAAAAAATGAAAAAGTAGCTCTATAGCACCCTGTGGCGTTTTGTTTTTAGCACTCTGTGAAAATTTCTTCCAAAAATATCAAAAATTAAAGAGTCAATTTCGAAGCGCGCAAACCTCTACAAATCGTATTTTGGACGAATTTTGTCTACTGTTTCGTGCTGTCAAAACAAGCGTAGACTAAGAAAGGACGTATTCAGATAATTTGGTGGCCCTATTTCATATAATATCGCGTAGATAAGTCGTTCTGCAAATAGGTACTCATAATCGCGATCGCTGATACTCCACGATTTGAAAGCCGTTTTACTTCCCACGTCATTGGCGAGGAAGTATTGTAATCGCAAAAAATTTCTAAAATGAGATGTTATTTTTTTAAGTCATATGACATCTACATCTGTTGTTTTAGTCCAGTGGCAACGGTGCTATAGGCAAAAAAGAAAAAGTAACAATTTGCTGAAACTCCGTTTTTGACGTTTCAGGGGTTCCTAATCATTGACATTAAAAAGGTGTACTACTTAAAAAGGTAGGGGGGGTTAAAATCAGTGAAACACGTTCTATTACTAAGAAGCTTCTGATCCCAGTGATTACAGGAAATTTAAGTATCGAAAACCCGACGAATAATGTGCTCACGATTTCAAAAAATCAGTACCTGCTCTATAGGTTTGTCACCAACAGCCAACAGATCTGCAACTACCGACAGTATTGAAGAATAAATTCGGATATCACTCCAGTCAAGTATAGGGGAATTTAGCGTGGAACTTTAAAATTATCGATATGTCAAAGAAATATGTTTTTGAGAACGATCATTTGGTAGATTTTATACCTGCATTTTCATTTGAATTTCATAACCCGTGAAATGTACCCATTTCGCCGTTACCTTTTGTGTTCTGCAGTTTGTGATGGTTTTCTGGATATAAGCAGGCCATAATTGTCTAGGGTGCTATCAGAGCTTTTTACAAAATTTTCTCTTTGCGCAAGAATTATGGTGGGTTGAAATGCTCACTATTTGTGCTCAACTTCTTGATATTTTAAAAAGATCCTAGTGGATAAAATCGAAAAAGTGGATCGCTGCCACCCTGTGGACTTTGT